GTGCGCCAGCGATCGCGCAGGCGCACTCGCCTAGTCTCCTTGACCGAAGGAGGAAATGGTACGCCGGCGCTCGCCCAGCCGCAGACCCGGCGTGAACTCCGCGAGCGGAGAGGCGCAGTCCTACTACGCCTGCGCACTGGGAAGGTCGGCAAAGGCTCCCGGGCGCCGTCCTGCGGCTTTCCCAGCGAGGCTTCCGGTTCTTGGCTGTAATTGTGGGAATCCTCCACGCGCGGAGCAAGAGCTCTGGAGAGGCACGTGCGGCTTGCGACGGAATGTCACAAGGTGGAAAGAAAGGCATCGAGTGCCTTTTCCAACCATATTCCATGGCATTTCCCCAATTCTCTCCTAGTACTCCTGGACTACTACGGTATGTTTTTAGCGAGTGAGCATTCCAAATCATGTCCCCCTCCCGGAATGTTTTGTGTACTGCAAAAACCTTGAGGTGGCTTCAGAGTGATCCCTTTTGCACATAAGCGATGCTCCTCGTGGGTGGCATTCAGGAAGATCCTGAGGACCCAGCTGTTCTCCAGAACATCCTACAGTAGTCAGACTTGATCATTTTTAAAATGTTAATTGATCATTGGATGTGAGAGATCTGATTTTGTTCTAATTGCTTTTGATTTTAATTTTTACCCAGGATGTTTTAATTCTGTTTATATTGTGTAAACCGCTGAGAGGCTGTTCTGACTGTAAATGTAATAAATATTTGGGATACAGATGGGGAAACATTAGGGCGATGAGGTCAAAGGCAGGCAAGGTACAGCTTCCTTTCCTTGTAGTGCTTTGAAATAGCCATATCCCTGCCCCCCTCAAGATTCCTACATTCAAAGTCTGGTAGGAAACAAAAATCTGGTATAGATTTCTAATGCGGAAGGTTGTAATTGGATTTTTGCCGCACTGAGAACTTGAAATGGGTACACAACCTTCTGGAAGTTCTGAGAATACATTGCAAAAATGGATGGGGGAAGGGAGGGCTTGCTCATGCTCAAAATGGCATCGCAGCAATTTGCCAGAACGTTACCTGCCATCCACTCTTCACATAGAACTTATGCTACTACCTCTGTTAGCCTTTCCCCCTTTTCTGAAAGCTGGACAGGTTTCAAACAATTGATTAGGTGCAGCTACTGTGGTTTAATTCTCCGAACGAGCTTTTAGAGCTCATTTGGGGCTTAGAAGATTTTGGAGAGAAGACTCCAAAAGACTGTGTTTGGAATTTTGAGATTGTGTAGCTGGTACACTGACAAAACACAATGCTCCTTTTTTTTAAGAACAGCTCGGGGGTGCAAGAGGGGCCCAGAGACATTGCTAGGAATACCCCTTACACTCAAGGCTGATGGTTTGCCTTGCAATCATTTTTAAAGCAAGGCTCTAACATTTATTAAAAACATTTGGATATCACCTCCCATTAAGCAACACCTCAAAACGGTGCATGTACTTTAAAAAGTATATACAATTGTATCCCTCTTTTATGTAGTTTATGGATCCGAATGAATTATATACCTATATTTACATAGCAAAGATTGAATGAGATCTGTTGTTCAATGGACCCTTTTTCATCTGTTCAAATACACTCTCTTCCACCCAGCCTTCTCTGAGCAACTAAATTACAATATGTTGTTGCTTTGTCACAGTCTCCCTCTGAATTATAATGAAATGCTGCTCTGGGTTCTTCCAGCTAGTCATTATGTAGGTTGATGGACTCAGTTTTTTAAAAATTTCCTTCTGTCATTCTTGAAATGAAATTAAAACCTATGTTAGTCAGTTTTGTTCTCTTCCTCCTCACATCCAGCCAGCCATCCATTTTTCCTCCTGCTTCAAACATTTTAAAATTCTACTTCAACAGCCAGAACACAGATTCATCCAGTGAGCAAGGAGACTTTTGGATTTCAAAGTACTGAACAAAAAACAACTCACATCTATAGCTACTGCAGAGGCATCTAATCAGAAAATGAGAAACTTTTTCTGTCTTGAGGGTCTGTACACATTAAGAGGTAATTTACATCTGCAAATGACTACTGTATATATTTGCAAGCTATTTGATGCTCTCCAGCAAACTTCACCCTGCATAATTGGTAGCGTTTCATGCTGATTGCTTTTTCATTAAATCCACATTCATTCAGTGCTCATTCTTGACTCATTATCTCATCGTTTTACAACATATACTTCGTAAGTACCTCACACATAGTGCAATCAACATATTTTTAAGTTTCTCCTGACATACCCAACTCTTTCCATAAAATGATGTGGGCAGACGCATGTTCTTATGCACAGCCATTCTTGTGTCTTTTTATAAATATTAACTCCTCACAACTGACCACATACAACCTGCTACCTTTCTACCAGCATTTATACATCTTTTAATTTCTCATCTTTTTTCCATCTTTATAAAACTTTCTACCACAGTACACAAATTCATTAACTTGCTCTATTTTTTTCCACTTATAACTTGCAATCAGTCACTCTATTTCTCTTGACTAACACAACCTGGCCTTTGATACATTGGTTTTCAGATTCTACTCCTTGTTGCATCATATAATCTAAAATTTTCTACAATCATTTGGGTTCTAAATCAAAAACATAGTTTTTATGTGGATACAAAAAATCCTAGCTGATAAATTTACCTCTTCTTTAAAGGAAAGCAAAGCTTTGGACCTAAATTGTGGCCTTTTAACCCAATTTTTGGTGATGACAGGTCATGAGAGAGTCATCCCAGAGATTAAGCAGTGAGTCCTTGACTTGGATCTGCATAGAGATAGTAACAATGATGATCTTTGTGGTAGACCTCTCTCCATACTTAATTATATCCTTTCTGTCCCACAAAAAAGAACATTTTCATTAGCTAGACTAAGTGCCTTGCCACTGATGTTTAATATACTGCCACAAGATTGCCTGGGCTGTTGTCCAGATGGCATGATCAAGACAGTTTTGCAAATACTATTGCACTGGTATTTTTATCAATGGTTGCAACCTATTAATTTTCCATCTTGACTGGTCTGGTGAGAACACTATTTCTGTTAGCAGAAAAAAACAGCTTATTTATTTATTCGTTCAGTACATGTCTGTGGCTGCCCACTTGTCAAATGATTCTGAGTAGCTTACACTGTTAAAAGCCATAAAACAGGCATTACATTAACAAGGTGACCATGTTGAGATGTAGTTCCACTACAGAAATATCCAGGAGGGTCACCAAATTTTATGATTCTCACAAGAAGGATTTGGATTTACCTTTGGCAATCTCTGCTATCTGATTTACTCCCGCCCAGATGGTCTGCAAATTCTATTAATTCCCTGGTCTTTTCCTCCTTTCTTTTATCTGGCTGAATTGTAATGCATTTGACAATTTTGGTCTTTAAATTAACTGCACACAAAAGTATATATACATTGATGTCCCTAACGAATGCATCTCTAACATTACCACAAGCATCCCTTATACATTTACCCATAAATACATTAAGCAACTAAGGGGGCATCACACTTTGTAGTCTTATTCCCCCTTCAATACTGAATCATTTGCTAAGCATTCCATTCATTTTCCACCCATGCTTTATGTCCATTATGTACACCCTTATCACATTCAGCAATCAACTTTCAACCCCATATTCATGGAGAACAATCCATAATTCATGTCTGTTCACTTAATATGCTTCTTCTAAATCAACAAGCATACGATAATCTTTCACACTTCATGCATGCCTCATTAACAAAAAACGCTTCCCCCCATAAGCGTATTCTGTCCCATCATGTCTGTTATTAAATCTCTCCTCAGATAAAAGGATCTCACAAGGGTCATCAGAGAATGGGAAATGCCAGTTTTATTTTAATCAGCCTTCTCCAACTACATCATGCAAACTGGTGTAGACCAATTAGGAATTAAAATAAACTGAACTAGAATGAGATCTGAATTCAGTCCCAAAAGTGCTAAATCTGTTTTGATTAAATGGGAAATTTTTATTGCACACGCTATCCCTTCCAACATTAATCAAGACAAAAGCACAGAACTCTAGCCTGTCCTTTCCTAACATTTATGTAAATTCAATATGCCGCAGTATCTCCAAATGAAATAATTTAATACAATTTTATTGTATTTTAAACAATGTTTCAAATCTGCATTCAAATTTCCATGTGTCTCAAATTCCTAAGCCTATAGAGTATGATGGTCTATAAATCTGTTTTCCTTTCTTTCTCATTTGGAATCCAATATTTGGCTCACAAATTTCCACACTGCCAAAGAAAGGGGCCAAAAAGGAATTTCAAATAGGATTTCAGATGCAGGAATGGTTAATTAAACAAACTTCCGTTTGCAAAGAGAAATTAGATGGATTTCAAAATGAAGAAAACTAGCATCAAATAAACAAGACCTTACCACTTAAAATACAGGCAGGGGTGAGGAGGTCAATAATTCATTCACGCTGTACCTTTCATCACTTACAATGTTAACTGGGGCTGCTGTCAGCTGTACTTTAGCATCCTCTAGATCAGGGTTTCTCAACCTTGGCAACTTTAAGACATGTGGACTTCAACTCCCAGAATTCCCCAGCCCGCCAATACACCCGCGGGGATTTTAGATGTTTCTAGAGCCTCCTGCTGACGTTGGGAAGAATAAGAAAAGCTCACACTGAAGGCCGCAAAAGA